TTTTCCCTTTATGAGAAATCAATTAAATATAAATTTTCTAAAAAAAAATTCATGCGTCCCTGTGAATTATTTTCTACCCAATATTCGTATCGACATAATTCAAAGTGGTTCGAAAACGATTTAACATTCTCGAAATTTGAATAAATATATATATTTTCAATTGAAAAATAAAGAATCACCGTTTCAAATGAGACGGTGCGGTGGATTGCCACCGCGATATAGAAGAAATCGCCTCCATAGAATTTCATGAGACGCATTTTTCAAAAATTGTTTTCATCGCCAATCTATATATACAATATGGTTTTGAGGGGGGGAATGACCAATTTTTATCTCTGTATATTTGATATCTACACGATATAAGGGATCATCATTTTCCATCCATGTCTTTTTACTCGTTTGAAATCGTGAACGAGTAAAAAAGTTGCGGGAAAAAAATGAAAGTAAAATAAAATATCAAGAGAAATTATAATCTATATTATATATATATATTATAGTATATATTATTTATTATAATATTATTATAACTGTTTTTTTGTTAATTATAATTTAATTTTAATTATATTTTTATTTATTATAATATTATAATGATATTTTTATTAATTATAATATTATAATTAGTATTTTAATATTTCCCGTTTATTAATAAATAAATATTAATAATAATAATATAATTAATAATCTTTATTTTTTCCCGTTATTTTATTTTACTTTTTTTTCACATTAACATAAAAAATAGAGAGAAAAATAAAAAGATTGACTTGTTATTGAAAAACAGAGAAAAAAAAAATAATATCTTTTCCACATAGTCTCCAAAAAATGTCCGATTGAGTGGTTTCTCGACCGCTCAGGAAGTTCTCGATAGCTGAAAGAATCTTTAAAGGATTAATTGAATGTTACTTAAAATAGGTGCAGGTGCTCGCATCACTGAGCACAACGTGATGAGAATGACAAAATCGAAATTATTATTCGCTTAGCGTCTCTTTCCTTTTAAAGTTCGATACGCTGTTTTTTTTCTTCGTTTTTATTATTAATTTACGTACATATAGGAGAAAAAAGCGAACATACTGGAAAAGCGAGACATGCAGTCGAAAATAAATAAACTATTTATTAAATCTTATTTAATATTTATCATCAAATTATTCATTTGTTTTTTGGTTTTTACTTTTTGCATTTTTCATTTGAAAATTTTTATCATTTGAGAAAAGTAGTCTTAAGGGAAAGCAGAGAAGTCAACATGCATATATATATATATTTAAAGGAGAATACAAAATTTGTTTAGAAATAAATACAAAAAAAATTTTGTTTCAAATATTAATATTATTTCTGGAAAAAAAAATTATTTGATTCGAATAATCTACCTATTGTTATCTATTATTAAATAAATTAAAAAATATTTACTTGAATCAAATAATTTTTATCTCGATTTTTACTTAAATCAAATAAATTCTAATTGAACCAATAAATTCAGTATTTGAATAAAATAAAATATTATCAAATAATTTTTATTTTATTCAAATTTTATTTGCTTTAAATACTAAAATTAGTGGTTCAAAAACAATTTATTTGATTTAAATAAAAGTCAAGATAAAAATTATTTGACTCAGGTAAATATTTATTTAATAATAAACAACTAATCGGTTATTTGAATCAAATACATTTTTTCAGTGTTTATTTAAAATTTATTTGAAATAATATATTAATATTACAATACTATATTAATATTTAAATATTGATATAATATTTTAATATTTACATATATTTAAATATTGATATATTATTTTAATATTTACAAATATATTTAAATATTGGTATATATTTTAAATATTAACTAAATTATTTTAAATATTATATTAATTTTCAAAATCAATTTTTTTCTCACTAATTATCAAGTGATTTAATTATGCAGTGCTCATTTAATTTTTCTTTTTAAACACTACAAAAATATTTAAATCTTTGGTGTTAATTATTTGAATTTTTTATGTTGATTTAAATCTTTTGTGTTAATTTTCATCCTTATTATTTAAATTTTTTTCTCTGAAAATTTCAATCACTTCGATTGAATTTCAATTCATTTGTGTCAATAATTATTAGATATTCGGTTTACAATAAATGAAATCTAATTTTATAATTATTAGGAAAAAAATCTTACCTGTTCACGAGAGGCCAGTAAATAATTTCTCGACGATAACTGAAAATTTATCTTTTAGAAAAAAATATTTTATTGTGAAATAAACTAAAACTACTTTCGAAAAAAAAATGGTTTTCTACTTTTTCGAAAAAAGTAATTTTACTTTCTTGAAAGCAGCAATTTTTCCTTTTTCGAAAAATAGTTTTTTTCTATTAGTCATTTTTTGCTTCTTTAAAAAAGCAATTTTTTACTCTTTTTAAACTTATTTTCAGAATAATCCTTTGAGAGAAAATCTAAAGAAATTTCGTTGACCTAGAAAACATTAATTTTTCTCTACAAAATTCATTATATATATATATTCATTATTATTATTATAAATTTCATTATATATATGTGTGTTGCATTACTGTACGTATAAAACTGCTACCCTGGAGAAATACTTTCTCAAAATATTTAAACTATAAGATAAAAATTTATTTTCAAAGAAAACATTCATGCAAGTCAATTGCTAGGTATATAAAGGTAATTATCGACTTTGTCTTGTTTCACCAGTGTGCTCGCCCCTTAAAGGCAGAGAGAGGATGCAAGAAACGCAAGATTTCCCGTTGAGAAGAGAGTGTAGCTAATTTGTTTATGAGAGAGAAAAGTATAATGACTACCACAAGTAAAAAAAAAAGTAAAAATAAAAATAAGAATAAAAATAAATAAAATAAAATATAGAAAAGAGAGAGAGAGAGAAAGAGCATTACCGTTAGCACGCTACACAAAAGAATTTGCTTTTAGTTTCATTTTTTTTATCGTTTTGTTTTTTAAGAAGTGCTTTAGAGTCTGCTTTTTACCAAGAGCTACCCGCGGCAGCGTTTTAATTAAAGTCGAGCATTGTTTTTTTATTTTTTTTTTATTTTTATATTTTTTTTTTATTATTATTAGTACGTAATTTGAAATGGTCGTCAAAAGTTAAATCTCAGGAGTCATCATATCATTATCATTCTTGTAAGAATTGTGTATTTTTTTCTACCCCAAAAAATTCCCTTTTTTCTTTTTTTAAGAAAAATATTTTTTTCTTGGTGAGATCCGCTGCTTGCTCATAAGATTTTCGCTTAAAATGCTGTTTCAGGCGATGAAGAATTCTATCTGTGATAGAATTCAAATTTCCAGATTAATTTTTGTTTTGAAATAGAATTATTTTTTTGTTGTTGAACAAATCAAATTTTTTGATACGTAACCGATGGTGCTTTGAGTCATAGATTTTAAAAAACTGTTGAAACTGTCGTTTTTGGAAGTTTGCGTCAGGGAATTGCGGAGGATTGCGGGATTTAAAAAAAAAATAAATAAAAAGACAAAAATAGGAACTGCGTGCAAGAAAATTTTAGAGGGGAAACTTTTTTTGGAGCGACAGGAAAACGAGATACAATTATGGAATTTTTACTGTAAAATCGAATTTCAATTTTACTGTCATATTAATTATTTGAATGGAATTTAACTGTCAAACTTGATATTAATTTTGTTGCAAAATTTGAATTGAATTTTGCTGTCAAACTTGATTTCAATTTTGTTGCAAAATTTTGATTTTAATTTTGCTGCAAATATTGAATTGAATTTTACTGTTAATTTTTATTTCAGTTTTATAGTAAATTTCAATTTTGCTGCAAAATTAGAATTCAGTTTTACGGTCAAATTAAATTTCAATTTTACTGTAAAGTTTAATTTTGCTGCAAAATTTTATTTAAATTTAAAATTTTTTATTTCAATTTTACAGTAAATTTCAACTTTGCAATCAAATTGGATTTCAATTTTTTTTGCAAAATTTGATTTCAATTTTCCTGTTAAATTCTTGATAAATTATCGCAATGTCACTGAGTATGAGTGCAGAAGACTTTTTAAAGACAACAAATTTCTATTTTTGTTATTGTTTAAATTTCTATTTTTTTTTTGTTTAATTTTCGATTTTCAATTTCAATTTAAATTCATTTTTCATTTTTCCTCTCCATCAATTTTGTTTCTTAAATGTTTTCCCTCTTTTTGAATTTATTTTAAGAAACAAAAAAAATATTTATAATTTTGTTATCAGTAATAATTTTAAATAAAAAATTTAAATAATATAAAAAAAATAATTAATGAATAATTGATAAATTAATAGTGTGTAATATTAAGGATTCTTTGAATAAATTAGAAGGAAATTTATACATATTGTACAAAAATAAATTCACCTTAAAATCAATAATTGACAAATAGAAATTTATTGAAAATAAAATAATAATTAAATTTATATATAAGTTTTATTAAAATTGAAATGGAATAAAAATGAAAATTAAATAAATTTTAATAATTGAAAATACAATTTTAGGGACTAATCTAAGTGAAATTCAATAAAATTTGTTAATTAATACGCGGAAAGAAAATTTTACCTGGAACAGCGATAAGTTTCTCTAGAATAGCGAAAGTCTTAACTGAAATAACTAAAAATTTCGCTAATATAGAAAAAATTTATAGTTGCTCCAGATAAAATTTCTTTTTTCGTTTAAAATTTTAGGGATTAATTAAAACAAACTAAAATAAAACTAAAAGTAAATAAATTTTAATAAAAACGTCGTCATCGTTCACAAATCAGTGACAAAGGAAATTTCTTTTCAGAAATAATTTTTCAAGAAAACAACTTCGAGCAAACGGAAAAAAATATAAAAATTTTGCTTCGATACCATTTTGGTAATTAATATTTTTTTTCGTTTTTTTTGTTAGGTGGGGGGTAAGAGGGGGAGGGGGTTTAAAATACGCGAACAGTCTGGTGGCAGGACGATGCATTATAAAGGTTAGACAATAATCAGTCAGACAGATAGACAGGCTTATTTTGAGAGAGCATATACTTAGGTACCTATTAAGGGAACAGCGTCCGAAGTTGTCGGCATACTTTCTGCAACGAGGTTCAGGAACACTGTGAGCGACAGCAGGATGGTCACCCCTACGAAGAGAATCATTTTTTGCATTTGGACAAAAAAAAAAAGACGAAAAGGAAAATTCGATCAAATTTACGTTTCCTTCTGGAGAACATATATTTAGAAAAAAAAATAATGAAACTTGTTAGTAGTATCATCTCAATCACTGTTTTTTTTTTTACTGTGACATATTCCCTTTTCATATGGTCGTGACAGTTTTTTAATATATTTTATTTCACAAAGAAAAAAATGTCCTTTTTTCACTTTTGCTTCCATAAGAGAGGAAAATTCGTTTTAATATGCAAACTTCAAGTAAAGATGATGAATTTGTTGAAATTTCCATTAAAAAAGAAAAAAATATTATTTGGCATAAAATTAATTGGTCAACATTTTCAATATTTTGAAATTGATCGAGTAGAACTTTTTCAATTAACCAAATTTTTTATTTTTATTTATGTGTTTTTACTCTTATTATTGAACTTTTTTGGTATTTTTCTACTTTAATATTATTTTTTTGCAACCTTTCTACTATTATTTATTTTTTTGCAATCTTCCTATTATTATTTTATTTTTTATACTATTTTTCTATGATTATTAACAATAAAATTATTGTTATTATTTCGCTATTATTTTGTAAAAATTTGATTTGGAATTCCGTTGAATCAAAATTAATTAAATAAATATAAATAAAATTTATTTTTATGTAACAGAATTTTGATAAATTTTTAAATGTAATTTTCATTTAACCGGATTTTTTTTAAAAAACAGAATTTTTATTTTTACAAAACATAATTTTTATTTAGCTTTTCTAATTAAAACCGAATTCCAATATTCAAAAATAGCTATTAAAAAAATTATAGACTGACAAATTTTTATCGAACCGAATTCTCATTTAGTAAAGCAAAAATTTCCCTGAATATAAAATCTGTTATAAATATAAAAGACTATAATGAAAATTTAATTAAAAATTATCGTGAAATAAAAATGTCAATTTATAATTTCATTAAATAAAAGTTTAATTAATAATTTCGATAAATGATAAATTAATTAATTATTTCGTTAAATAAACATTCGATTAATAATTTTGTGAAATCAAAAAGAATTTCAAATTGTGAAAAATTGCTATTTAAAAAATTTTATTCTGACACGAAAATTTTGTGAAACAGAATTCTAATTCACTTTTCATTAAAAGTTAATTCTTTAGAAATAAAAATGCAATTAATAATTCTGTTGAATAAAAGTTAAAATATTGATTAATAATTTCGTTAAAAAGAAAAAAGTGCATTAATAAGTCCATTAAATAAAAATTCGATTAATAATTCCGTTAAACAAAAATTCAATTAATTGTCCCCTTGAACAAAAATTCAATTAATAATTCCGATAAATAAGAATTTGATAATTAATTCCGTTGAGTGGAACTTTAATAAAAAATTACGTTTAAATAAAAGTTTAATTTGAAATAAAATTTAAATAAAATTGAATGAAAATTTGTAATAAAAATTTAATCCAAATTACCATTAACTGAAAATTTAATGTTTACAATTACGATTAAATAGAAATTCTCCAAAGTGAAAATTTCCCATGATTGGAAATTCAGTTATAATAGAGATTATCCTTTATAATAATTCAATTTTCTCATAAATTTCTCATAATTGAAAATCAATTTAAATTGTAAATCGAAACGGTGCGAGAAATTTGGTTTAGTTGAAAATAATAGTTACTCAACGATATTCTCGATAAACTGAAAATTGTGACTAATTAATTTTACACGTAAACAATTTTCTTTTCTTTTAAATCACTTATTTTTCTTTATCACCATTATATCTGAAGTTGATAAACTATTTTTACATCCTCACGTTTTCTATTTGTAATTTTCAATTTACATCGTCTTTAATGTGCCATTTTCCATTAATATAATATTCATTTAATTTTTTTGTTAATTTTAATATAATTTCTTGTAGATCATTATTTTCTTAATCATTATTATCTGAAGTTGATAAACTATTATCAGTAGTTGATAAACTATTTGCTTTCTTCACGTTTTTTTATTTACAATTCTCTATTGTTTTTATTAGTCAGTTTCTATTATCATCGTCTTTAATAAAATCATTTTCCTTTTTATTTTATTAGTATAATTTTTCCAATTTTCCAAAATAATTTCCCTGATGTAGAGAAAATACTATGAATTTCCATTGAGTGGCAGTATTTATCATTTTAGTCAAGTATGGCATATAATGATAGTGGCTCTACTGAAGTATACTTCAGTACAACGAAGTACTCTCTGGTAACGCAAATACCAGAGTAATAAATAAATATACCAATTATAGATGAAGTACGTGTAAAAATTAATGATACTCTGGGAGATTAATAGTTTGTGATTGTGCAAAAGGAATATGCGTTTCATGAAAGGATTATATATATATGCAGATATACACAGATATATGTATAACTCTCGGGTTTATTGTTAATAGATGATTCCATTTAGTGTTGTAAATAGATGATGGCATTTAGTGTCATAAGTGGATTATGCGCCAAGTAGCTCTCTGTACTGATTGAAACAATCGATAATCATCTACATTAGAATGGTCATTGCCACATATGTAACGACAAGTTTATCCTAATGGTAAGGATCAGAACATGATCTCTATTAAGGACATTTCTCTTGTTCAGAATTCCAAAACCTCTTGGGACAAATCTAATGGCTATCGTGTGGTGGTCAATTACTGCGCGACGCGATGGTAAAATCATTCACGAGAGAAGCATTTCTCTAAATGCAAAAATTTCTCAATCCTTTTATGATGATAATAATTCAATTTTTTAATAATTATTTTAATAATTAATTCACGAGAGAAGCATTTCTCTAAATGCAAAAATTTCTCAATCCATTTATGATGATATAATAATTCCTCATATTTTTTGCACTATGATCTTCAATTATTATTATTTCATTGTTCTATTTGTTGTGTAATTTCTTAAAAAAAATTGTATTTTCGAAAAATTATTTATACAAATTTTAGACTTTAGAAAAAAATTCACCATCAAATTGAAAATAAATTTTAACATTTATTGAATTCATACAAATTTTTTCACTTGAAATTTTTTTTATATTAAAAATATTCTATTTTAAAGAATAGACATTCTTTTGTTGACAAAAAAAATCAGATTTTGGTAATTAGAAGACAGAAAAAAGTAGGTGTTTGTTGCGTTTGTTTCTAAAATTGCTTGAATTTATGAAAATTAGATACCGATATTATAATAGTAGGTATATTGATTAATAATTAATAATTAGTATTTCTTGATTCAAATTATAATCGTTGGCAATTTCAATTTATTTCTATTCTAATTTATCTAAATTATAATTCTAATTTCAATTAATTAAAAATTCAATTCTCCCAAAATGTTTATCTGTTGCTGTTCATAATATATATTCGAAATTTCAATTTTATCCCAATGTTTCGAAAATTAAATTTCATATTTAAATTTCGATACACTTCAATTTAAATCATTCCTTTGAAATTTTATTTTATTTGACTCAAATTTCAATTGAACTTTTCAGACAGTTCTAATTTTCATTGAATTAAATATCAAATTTATTAATGTACTCAATATTAATATTTATTAAATCGGTTTGAAATTTAATTTCTTTAAATTCAAAAAATTTTAATTTTATGAATTTCAATTTAATTTAATTTTATTTAGAGAAAAATTCAATTTATCGAAACTTAAAATTATTGAAATTTTTAGCTTTCTAAAGCTTCTCTGTTTACTTGTCAAGTTATCGAAATTTTTAACTTTTTAAACTTCAATTACTGATAAAAAAGTTTCAATTATTTGGAAATTAATTAATTACTTTGCACGTCAGTTTTTTTATTGTAAACATTTTATAACACATTTTTCAATTTATGCAAATTTTGTTCGATTCAAATTTCAATTCCTTTTTAATATTAATATTAAATAAAATATTACAATTCAACTTTTAATGAATCTTAATTTTTGTTCATTAAAACAAATTTATTATTAGAAATTTTAATAAATTTTAAGTTATATTTATTCAATTTTTGAATTATCTAAATTTCAATTGAATTTTACTGAATTGAATTGAAATTAATTGAATGGAATCGAATCAAATCGAATTGAATCTTATTGAATTGAATCTAATCTAATTCAATTGTATTGAATTGAAATGCATTGAATCGAATCGAATTGAATTGAATCAAACATATAAAAGTGAATTTTAACTATTTAAACTTCAATAATTTATAAAAAATTTTAATTATACAGAAATTAGTCACTTTGTATATTAATGTTTTTTATGTAACATTTTTTCATCTATTTTTGGAAAATAATTCATCTTTTCACAAATTTTAAAAATAAAATAATTAAAAAAAAATATTTCCAATATTATTTTAATTTTTGTTTACTAAAGTTGTTAAGAATTGTAAAAATAAAAAAAAATTAAATATAACTGATACGTCTTGATAAAAAGGAAAAATAATTTAAATAAAAAATTAATCTAACTGACTTCATTTTGTATTTTTAAATTAAAAGGTAATTATTAATTGAAAAGTACTTTAGTGAAAGTGGAAACAATTTTATTTTTATTGCCAATGAATTAAAATTGAAAATTTTTGATATTAACATTAGGAAAAAATTTCAGTAGAATAATTCGAAAATTGTTTTGTTCAAAATCTGAAATTTTTAATCTTTATACATTTTTTTAAATATTTTTTGTTCAATTGTTCCATTATTTAATTGAATATTTTAACTAAAGTAACAAAAATTAAAATTATCAAAAAGACACTTACTTTTTTCTTCGTAAATATTAAAAACTATTTTTTCTCCTTCTTTATAGTAGGAAATAATTTTTAAAAGTATGTTCACTACAAATTTTGTAAAAAATATTTCTAAAAAAGCTTTTTGGTAAATTTTCGTAGAAAAAGTTTTCAAAAAGAGTTTTTAGAAAAATTTTTGTAGAAAAAATTTTTCAAAAAGTTCTTAGAAAACTTTTGTGGAAAAATTTTTCAAA